TTTTTCGCACATGTTTCATGTTTGCGTGCTGTTGCGCATGTTCGCATTTTCTTGCATGTGCTTCGCGACGTTCGCGCATGTTTGATGTGTTTGTTGTCTTCTTTGAGTTGTGTCTTGCTGTTCTTTGCGTGTTGTCGTCTCCCTGCAAAGTCTGGCAGCGCTGCGACACGCAAGGACGTAGCAGCTGACTCCCACAGCGATTTCTGTTGTAAGTTAATGGTCGCTCTTTGGCCAAAATAAGTTTCACTATGCAAGCTTGATAAGTATCAATGCAAACAGCAAACACACACAAACACCGTCGTGCGAAGAGCAAATTGTTACGCAGTCACAGGCCACCGTGGCACATAGTGTAGAGCATCAGATCGTGGGTCAAAGGAAAAGCCCTTCTTGGTTTTGCAAAATGGCATGGCGCAGGTTTGTTCTATGACGTAGCGATGCGCTTGAGCGGGGCTATATAAGTATGTGCTGATCTGCGTTTCGGCTGAAGCGACACTCAGTTGCCAGCTCTTTCCCAACATTTACCAAAAATCAAACACGTCATCGTCTTGTTTTTTGCGAAAAACAGATGAGTGCGATTTTCCTGGGTCATGGCAAGGATGGGCTTCCCGGATGTTCAAATTGCCGGATGTGTGTGCGTGTGAGAAACGGACAATCGCTGCCGTGTTGAAGCAGATCGCTGCCGCGCACGCTTTGTCGCTTTTTTCGCAAACGTTTGCAGCCAACCAGCCGCAGCGGTGCGCATGTAGCGCCGCGTCGCATTATACAATACAGAGCGGTGATGGCATCCACTTGCCTTAAGCGAGAAAAGCAAACACTGGTTCAGTCGGTTAGCTTCAGCTCAGGCACTATGTTGCATAGACGCCGGACAAAGTCCCATCGCCATAGCAATTTTTGATGCGTGCTTGTAATGGGCATTGCCGAAGGCGGAGCCAGATGTGCAAGTAGAAGTGAAGCCTAGGAGTACGTTTGGACTTCGTAGGATTTAAGCAAATGTGAACAATTGCTTAAAGCCAAGTGGCTTTGACCGCAGTTCGTAGCTTTTAAGCCCACTACTGGCGTGCGAGGGAAAGGCCAAGAAGTTGTACCCCAGCACAAAGCGGAAGGCCATGCGAATGCCAGTCTCAATGTCACTAGGCTGAAGGAAAAACCAGGCTTTTCCATAACTTCAAACTCAGTTCGCAACGCCCTCATTGTCCTTAGCTGGGGGGGCCCTGCCCTTGTTCATCACGTAGGCTATTGCGACTTTGGGGCATTGAAAGCACTTTCGCGCGCGCTTGGTCACCCTCCCTGCCAGTTCGTTCGCGCAAAGTAGGCATTTCGTCCTGAGCAAGTAGGGCTGAAACAATTCAAGCGCACACGCAGCCCCCTCTCAAACAGTATGAAGAGAATATTGGAGAGTCCCAGGCACGAACCAGAAGACCAGCGCCTTGCAATCAGCGCCCTGTGCATATAGCGCCGGGTAGTTGTTCTAATAGCCAATGTTCAGTTCATCCAATGACAGTTCACGGTTTCTACCTTCGCCACATTTGCGCCAGGCCACCAACAACTCATAGGCAGCGTCAAGGCCGCCACGCCAGCTCCAAACACTTCAAGCAACCCGAGGCGAGAAGGTCTGGAACATGAAGAGCATCATCAAAAATGGTTGAATTCGAGAAGTCATTGAGGTCCAATAGCAGAGACACAAACTGCCGTGTGCGTTTCAAAGTCCTCAGCTAGCAACAAAATAACAGACGGCCAAAACCAAAAAATGCGCGCGCGTTGTGCACATATTGAGGCAAGGCTTCGTGGTGCGTCTCAACTGAGGCCACGCGTGGGGAATCAAACGCATTCAGGTAATGGTTCGACCCTGCAGCGCAAAAGTGTTGGCCGTCCATCGGGTCAGCCGCAGTGGCCATCCTCAATTCTCACACACACACACACACTAACGACCGAGCTGCGTGCGTCCTGGCGCGCTCACCCCCCCCCGAGCAACTCAACCAACAAAAATTAAATGGTGTGGTTTGCCACGTGCAAGAACGCTCCTGTTTCCGTTGGCGGCACCATTCCCCTTCCACTGGCGCTGACATTAGGGCGCTATAGAAAGAAGGCGTTGGAACCTGAGGCCCCGACAAGTGAAAAACTTGCTGGAGCCAGTTTAAGTCACCTATGGTGTAGTAGCGGCAGCGCAGGTGATGCCCGTCCAAATGAAGAGTCCTTCATCAACAGCTTGAGCAGGCGCAATCCAACAAAGGGATTCCCAAGTTAGCCAAGAAACAGTGATTCAAAAACACGCACCAGCAGGCCCATGATTTCGTCGACAGTTGAGCGCGCGTGCATTTTTTGGAGCTGGCGGGTGATCAGGCAACCCTCCCAATTCCATGCAAGCGTTTGGGGTGGTCAAGCTGGGGCAGGCGCAAATCGGCAAACGTGTGTCCTCAGCTGCAGGTTTGTTTTGTTTGCCGCAAAAACTGTGGGAAAGGGCGTGTGTAACTGGATTTGGTTGACCAAGGAACTCCACTGTGGGAAAGAGCGTGCTCTAATTGACTATCAAGAGGTTTCGCTTCTTGTAGTAGGGGCCCTCATCACCGTGAATCCACACTGGTATGTCGCGAGGTCCTGCCATAAAAACAAGAACTAAAGCTCTGTAAGAAATGAAGCAAACCTCCCCTACCTTTGGCCGGCCCGAGTACAAGTGCGACTCTGAGACACATGTTGAACCTTGCTCATGTGATGCCCGCTGCTTCAAAACGTTTCATTCTATACGCAAAAACATGCACAATAAATCACAAACCTAGACACTCTGTTCTTTCCTTTTTAGCAGTTGAGCCAAAGAGTCCGCGTAGCACATGCGGCCGCCTGGTGAGCCAAGCAAAGTAGCTGGACGGGAGCTCGCAATAACTGATGAGGGCAGGACCAACCGGTTTTTCCCCTAGCTTGTTGCGAGCCTTGAGGTGCAATTTCCGAATTGTAAGAGCTGGAAGGTCGCGACGATTAGTTTGCAGAAGCTTGGACCCCTCGTCCACAGCTGCCTTGCAAAACCTGCTCACTGACTTCAAGTTTGCGTTCAGCAGCAGCCCCATAGGTGTAGCCACGAGATACTCCAGGGTGGAAATGGTTTTTGGGCCAGATTTCGGCTTCTCCTGCAAAATCTTGAGGAGCAAGTTGGCCCCCGTTTTCAGCTTGGGCAGGGGTGACCTAATGAAACAAACATATGCCGATCATTTGCAGTCAATGGGAGTCAATGAGGGCCGAGCGCCGAAGTTGAGCTTACCTGCGCCTTTCAAGCAGCGGTTACGATAATGAAATCCAAAGATCAGGCGCAACGCTGCAAACCCTGTAACAAGCAACGCCAAGCCAAACCTTTTCCACCCAGCCACCTCGCGTTATGTAAACTCAAGGATCGCCTTGAGAACACCCCTGCTATCGCTACCTCTTCTGGAGTACTAAAGATAATACGCGATGCCACAGCTTTCACACACCCCTGAGCGAACTCCTGGCAAGGCGTGAGCAAAGTTTCGCCACAGCGCGGGTGACTGTCCTCCTTGGTTGTGAACTTCAGGTAGAGCCAAGCACGCGAGAAAGCCAACAAAAACACAAGGAGCCTTGACCTTGCGTTGGGCAAGGCTTTTCAGCTCCTGAGTTACAATTTGACTTTGCGTGGAACCTGCGTTAAGAATGACCTTCCAGCTCTGCGCCAGCTCTTGCTTGGCCTCGGACAGCTCCTTGAGAGCATCATTGGCCGCTGGGTCCGCCACCACAGCGATCTTCGAGAACAAGCCAGCGGGCCAACGAAGGACATGTGTATTGCGTTGCAGGCTTGGCGATGATCTCAGGGAACGACTCCGATCCTGAGATCCCAAACGGCTCTGGGGTTTCCCGTGTTGTCCCTCTTCGTCTTGACGACACCCTTCGACGTTGCTTTGGCCTTCGCCTTCGGGGCAGGAGCTCCTGCGCAGGCGACGTGCAAAATGAGCCACAGACATGTGCTCTTTTCAGGCACAGGGCTGGCGGTGCGGCTGCTGGCGGCTCGCCATCCAGTATGGCCGGGTAGGCTTTCCTTGGGCAACGTGCTTGAGCGTGGCAGTGATTGGCCAGCGGTGCGTGCAAGAGTCAACTCCTCAATCATCGCGTTTGGGGCGGTTGTCTTTGGAGATCGGCGCCACTTTGGCTTTGTATTCGCGCCACAACGGTCTCGGATTCATCCGTGATCAGCTTGTACACCAGGGCTGCCGACAGGTTCGGGTCCTGGAGCCTGGGCGCGATGCGCAACGCACGTGCCAAACACACAGCCCTCAGCTGAGATCCTTGGGCCGTCAGCCTCTGCCTCACGCATCGCGGCCTCCGCTTTCTCCTTGCTCTGCCCGTAGTGCGAGTAGACCTTCTCTTCGGAGATCGAGCCTGCCTTCACCTTGTCCGTCTTTAGGAAGCACATGCTTTGTATGTTTTCAAGCCACGGAAACTTGGTAGGATCTGGGGACGTGGCTTCTGCTGTAGCCCCTTCATTGCCACATGAGCGGTGACCGTCGCAACATGTGGCGAGCTCATCCATTTCTCCAGCAGCTCTTGGCGATCGGGCACGCCAAGCCTTGAGGCGCGGTTTGGGTTTCGCAGTGGTAGCTGACTGGTCGCCCGTCCCGCTGGATGTAGGTGTCGACTGGCGCTGCTGCGGGCTATGTTGCTGCAAAGACCCTGGCCGTTGCTGTTGCTGCGGGCCAGGCTGCTGCTGCGCTGCTTTGCAAGTCCCTGCGACACTTGAAGGCGAAGCCACTTGACAACGAGGTGTACCTCTCGAACCATTCACCATCAAGCAAGTTGACATCCTAAGAAAGGAGATGGAAGCCAGTGACAAAGAGGTCAACATGACCAGCAGTTCCGCTTCCGAAGCCTCCTGCTTTGGGGCCACTGCCGGTTCTGCCTTCATGGTCTTCTTCACGCCCTAGTCCACCGCGGCGGCCCTTTTGGTGGCCTGCGCCAGCACAGGCGCCAGGTCCTCGTGAGCCAAGCCCCGGCAGCTTTGCAACCCGCTCCTCCACCTCCTGTAGTTCCTTCTTCATCTTAGCCTTAACCGCCATGCGTCTCTGCCTCTCCGTCTCCTTATCCTCTTCCGCTTTCTTCAGCTTCGCCTCCTCGCGCTTCATCTCCTCGAGCTTCAGCTTTTCCGCCTCGGCTTTCTTCAGCTTCTCCCTGGCGCCCAATCTTCTCAAGCTTCAGCTTCTTGTCCTCGAGCTTGATCTTCTCCAGCATGGCCACAAGGTTCAGCTCCTCCTCAACAGCCGCCAGTGTGTTGCGCATGCAGAAAAAGGAGCGTAAATAATAGTACTATTCCAAGGCCGAGTTATACTTCGAACCAAACCTTAGAATTTGACACTAATTCAATCGTTCAGTTGAAAGGTATACTCAACGCTTGAACTTTTAATATGGACCCATATACTCGAAAATTGAACTTGCGCAAATTCAATGTTCGAGTTCGTAACGCAGCTCAAACCTGCAGAGTCTTCCTCCAGCGGTGTCTCGGCGGCCTCAAGTCCTGCAGAAAGCCACATGTGGAGGTCAGTTCCAACACCTAGCAGGTTTCGTATTTGGTAACGTGCGTGCCAGGCCTAACTGGTTGTCGCATAGGTCTTGATGGCTCGGGTCCGCCGCCGCCAGCGTTGGCGCAGTGATTGAAATCCATGCAAGGGAAAGGGCCTCGTCAAGCTCGCGCTTGGCCCGCGCAAACGCAGACTTCATTCCCTGAAAGCCGCGTAGCGTGCTTTTGCTGTCGCTTCAACCCTTGTTTTAATTCGTTTGGGTCGGAAAGAAGCGCCTGCTCGTCCAGGTCCGGGTCCAAGTGCCCAACGCCGCTCGTGAGCGTAAAACACGCTATACGCTAGTTCTGAGGCACAGGCAGCTGAGCTGGGTCATGTTCGCGGTAATCCCCAAAGGCACCCTCGATGCTTCTGCAAGACGTGCCTGTTCAATTTGTGGTCGGGTTCGTAGTAAAGGTCCTTCACTTGGGTGTTCGGTTGTGCCTTGTAGGTCTAGCGCAAAACGACGGCTGTGTTGCGTGTTCAGCCTGTGTCCGGCTCGTGTTTTGCTTGTGTTCGGATAATTCCCTTGTTCCCCACGGCGCTAAACGGCAAGTCACCAGAGGCCCCATGAGCCTATATGGCAGTTCATTGTGAGCTACAGGGCTTGCGTTCAGGGGCAAACCCAGGTCAGTAAGTAGCTGCCTGCACAAAGAAGCAATTAACTGTGTTGGCGCAATGTGAGTGATGGCTGCAACCGTCACAAGGTGCCAAATGAGCAAAATCATGAAGGAGCTGAGGTTCAAGCGTCCCAACAATCGCCCATGTCAAGCTTGCCGTCGGTGCAAAACAGCGTGTGCCTGCGCACAGCAAGCAACAAGTCAGATAACTTACATAATGGAGCACACAAGTGTTTGGAGGCCATCGCAGGCGGGGTGCGGCCGCCCCGTTGGTCTTGACCAATTCAGCCACTTGTTGGCCCAGCTCTGGGGGATATGCCGTAGGATGCTAGGAGCTGGCAGACGAGTCAAACTGCTGCACCACATTCAGCTCAACAAGCATTAAAACAATTTGCAAACTAGGGCACTGCGTGGAAAGTAAGCCTACCGTCCCCGTCACGCTGCCGGTTTGAGGGTTCTTGGTTGCTACAGGCGCAGTGTTCATTTTATCACGCTTACGTTTGCGCTGCTCCTTGCGCTCAGCATTGAACACACAAAGCAAGCCGCCGACCCACGTCCTGAGATTGCACAAGAAAGCGCACAAGACTCCAGACACATGTGCAAATTATAGCAACTAAGGGTCTTGTTGGAGTAGAAAGTGCACAGCTTCCAGGACAAGTGACATATGGTACCATGAGGGAACTAAATGGGCTGTTCTAAGAAGAAAGCTGCTCCGTACCAGGCTCCGACCAATAGGCGTCCTGGCGGCGAAGGAAGTACCGCGCCAACAACTCACGCTCACGCACGCAGTCCGACTGGTCATTAAATTTGCGGATTCCACCGATGGCGATGGTAACCCGAGCGCAGTATCTGGCCCTGAGAAAGCACAAAGCGCGCACCGTTTGTAGCGCGCGCAGCCCAAAGCCTTCAAGTGGCAGTTGCGAATTTCTTGCCACAAGTATAGTGGCCATGCGCGTGGCAACAAACATAAAGCGCAACACACCCAGGTGCTGCAGACTGGAGCGGCAGCTATGAACCTTGCGCAAAAAGAAGCGGGCCGAACTAAATTTGGAGATCGGCAACAAAACCCAAGGCCACGACATACCAGGGATAGAATACTCATGAGCACAAGCTTTGAAAAAAGGAAGCCCGGCAAAGTTTCAAAAGCAACAGGCAGAACGTCAGCCAGCCGAGCTCCAGACAGCAGCCCAGCTTCGCTGTTAATGTTCATGGCATAATGGGTTTCAATAATTCAACGCCACCAATCCAGCCTGCAAAGTTGCCACAAGCTGGTGATGCTGACAAGAATTGACAGACCCTTGCCTTTATGGAACTAAAGAAAATGATATGCGAGTAATAGATGATTCAAGGTTGCGGCTAGACCTGGGAGCCGTGAGCACGAGCTAACGTACGTTTTGGTCTAGAAATCCGGCATGTCGGCCAAACACACTAGGCAGCCACCGCGTTCAGCCAAAACTCTGGCAAATGCGCGCGTGTGCGAGGGACATATAAAGGGGCCCTGTGTTGACATCGAGCCCGCAAAACAAAAACAGTGAGCGAAAACAACGCAAGGCCCCTGCATGTAGCGCAGTGCGGGAGGCACCTTTGTTGGCGCGGTTGGGATCCTTCTCGATTTCGGTACCTGCGCGACCGCCCCGAAATATGTGCACATAGGCTATCATAAACAATATGTATGGCCATGAGCACACTGCGATAGCTTTTTTTGGCCGGCACACATGCTTGCGTGTGGCTATGGTGCACTACTGCTCATTAAAAAACCCTTGCACGAGCGACTGGACTTTTGCCAGAATCTCTGAATAGTCGCCAAAGCAGTGGCCCCAGAAGTCGTACTGCGGCCATGCTCAAACAAAAACCATTTGCGGTAGTGGCTGGCTGTCTTGGCGCCCGCCGCCCCCCCTCCCCAGGCTGTCCTGCGACTTGCGCACACTTCCGGTGCGAACCGCGGTTTCTTGGCTGGCGGTTCTTCGGGCGCCTTTGGCTGGTCTGGAGCCACACCCTCAGCTGCAGGGTTGGCAAGGCCCTTGTCATTGGCGCTTCCTTACGCTTTGTTTGGATTTTGGTACTGCGGACTTGGGCTTTGTCTTGGCTTTCAGTTGCGAGTCACAGACCTGCAATCAGTGGAAAACGGCGAGCAAGTGTGGAGTAAAAAGCCCGAGCAAGCGTGGCCAAATACAAGCGATCGATCAAGCGTGGCAAAAACACGCGAACGAGAATAGCCTGAGCCACCGGATGCAAGAAATTCCATTGCTCCACCAACTTCGCAGCACTCTTGGTCGCGGGCTTTGGCAGTAGGGCTGTTGATTTCCAAGGGCCCCTGCATCAAACTATTCTGGGCCATTTCTGACCTTGGATATAGCATATCTAAAGGCAGAATTCAGCCAAATAGACGAAGTATATAGTCAGTCCTCCCCAAACAAAGTGCGGCAAGCCCGCAAACACGCTGCCCTGGCATGTTCAAACGAAAAGGAACGTGGACAGAAACACGCACAGGGCCTCCAGCTTGTCGGAGGACGCCCCAGACCTGGGCAGGATGGGGGCGAGCGCTTGACGGAAGGTTCTGGCGCGAAAGATCTTGCCCAGCCGGCCTGCAATGGGGTCTCAACTTCCTCAAGCTTGCTGGAGCTAGGGGGCTCAGGTGTAGCTTTGCCTGCCAGCTTGGGCCGCACGATTCTGCGGAAGGCGGGCAAGCGATGTAAATTTCGGGGAGACCCGTGGTGCCGGAAACGCAAGTTATCTCAGCACAAACATCTTGAGTCAGGTACTTGGATCTCCCTGTCAACAAGCGAACTTTGCTGCGCATCTTCTTCAAGAGTGACGCCAGGAGTGCTTGGTCCCTTCGACCAAGCGCTTGCGCCGCAACTGCAAGCCCAAGGCAACAAAAACGGTTAGCTGAGAACCCAACTGCAGCCCCAAAAACCCTTGAATTAGGAGTCTTGCGTTGGCCAGGGCCTCCTTAGAAAAAGGCATGCAGAAAAAAATCCCGCCTCCGTGGACAGTTTGGGGGCACCTCACCTGATGAAAACTATGGAACACGTTGTCCATGATCCTCCGTGAAAACATTGAGGTTCAGCCCCAAGCTGCCAAATTTCATGGGTCAGGTCAGTTCGTTCGGGATTTGGGTGTTTTAAGGTCCTAGCAGAAAATAAGGGTTTTGTAGTCAAACTTAAGGGTTTGCCAAAACCAAAGAAAGAAAAACACAGATTTTGCAGCAAACCTCAAAGTGTACTATTGATGCCAGTTTCCTCCAAACAAGAATCAATTTGCTTTTTTGGGAGGGGACCAGGCCGGTTTTGCGCGCTAAGCCTTAGGGGTAAGACAGCTTGACGCGCCTGCTGAAAGGGGGTGGGTCGTCTAAACAGAAATGAGTCTTGGCCGCCAAGAGGAAAGAGCTTGAACTGTTTTTTTCGGGAAAACTTAACTATAAATCCGCCCCTTCTGTGCCCAACTTCTGCTCGCATTTTGGCTAGATTCTGGGCTTGCAGCTGCAAGTGTTCACAAAGAAACCGTGACACGCAACAAATCCTGCATGGGCACTGTTTTTGGATTTTGGCCACAGACTACATAATACGGAGCAGAACTCTTTTTCTTGGTAGCCGTTTCTCAGAGGCCCCAGGTTCCCCGTGAACCAACTCCAAACAAACTCCGAACGAAGTCCGAACTCCGAACGAACTCCGAACAAACTCCGAGCAAACTCCAGACAAACTCCGAACGAACTCCGGGCGAGCTCGGAACAAACACCGAACAAGCGAACAAGCTCCGAGCAAACTTTGTCATTGGTTGATTTCCGAACAAACCCCCGAGCCAACTCCGAACTTGGCCATAAGTATGTATTTGAGCCTAAGTATTTTGGTGGTCAAACTGTTGTTTTTGCTTTTTTTTCGGGCTTACCAAAAGAGGCCAAGTGATTACAGGGTCCAGTTTCAACAAGTTGCCTGGGAAGGTGTTTTTTGAGGCAACCAAACATGTTATCAGGCCTCTTGTTGAAATCAGTTCTTTT